CAGTGTGTGGGCCCCCCCCCCCCCTTCCCCCGTCGCGGAGCCTCCGCGTTGTGTAACGGGGACGGGGGTACCCGCTGCCCCCGGGCGGCCAGGGGCAGGAGACGTTTTACTGTTATTTTATTTTATTTTTTTTTAAACGAATGCGGTGTAATTTGAGAGCAGGCCGAGCGGGAGGGCAGCCGCTTCCCCCTGCTTTTTTGGCTACGCGTCCCGCATTCCTCTCTTTCCTCCCCCCTACCTTGCCCGTGTCCTGGAATAAATGTGCTCTGTGCAGGGTGTTTCCTTGGCGCTGCGGTTGTGTCCTCCTTTCCGGGGGCGCCCGGGCGCTTAGCTGCAGAAAATAGAAATCAAGCAAAAAACAAAAGTCATGGTTATCCATCCTTTTCTGTTTTCTCCCCTTGGTGAGGGTAGTAAATGTGGTTTCGCGCAGGGGGAAGCAGTGTTGCAGCAGTGTGGTTGGATTTGGAGGTAAATGGAAAAAAGAACCGATTAATCTTTTTATCGCAGTATCTCTGTATTGTTAGGATTTTTCAAATCTCTCTTGAAGTTAAATAGCTGCAGCTTCTCGTGCTTCCTGTAATGCCTTCCCCTGGCCCCTTGTGTCACTGAATCACCTAAGTACGTGGAATTTTAAAGATGCTGAATTTCTTATGGATCTGCCTAAAATGTGTTTGCACAGTTTAGCATAACATAAAATCACTTGTTTTAGCACATTTCACTAGACTCACTGGGCAGATTTTGATAAGTTTGTAGATCCGTGGCTGACCTCCCTATGTAGCATCAGGATCTTTTCCTTCAGGAAAGTCGTGTGGGAGCGGGGAAAATGCTGCATGTCTGCAGTTTCCTGCTATGTGGTTGATGATCTGTGCTACTTTTCTGGAATGTAGGTTTCAACCTTTAATCAAGAAAGGATTCAGGGAGAGCTATTAATATAATTTCTACAAATAGCAAAATTATTTAATGTGCCACAGACAAGACTGGCAAGATCTTGGAGCTGCAGGAGCAGCTTGGCTATCCAGGGGCTTTTGAGGCTTTCAAAAGAGAAGATGGGGGGGAAAACCCTATATAAAAAGCACAGTCTTTACCATCTCTGCTGTGGCATTCGTGCTAGCATTAAGGGAAAAGAGCATCCCCTTTTATCGGCCAGGGTTTAAAGATACTGGGGCGAGGTGCCAACGTGGAGAAACGTGGACTTCCCCGAAAGCCTCGTGGGATGTGTTTGTGCGTTGTTCCCTGCCCGTTTACAGATAAGGAGGGTGCTGGCTGGGAAATCCAGTTCCTTCCTGGGTCCTGGTGACCTCTGAGCTTTGATCTGGTGCCTGGCAGAGGCATTTAAAACCAGGGAGTATTTGGACCTTGAAAATCGGTGACACTTGACACTGCTGCTGCTCCATCTGGCCCTGGGTTTTGCCTTTTCCTCCTTGCTGTGACCTGCATGTCCACTGCAGCTCCTCCACCTCCCAGCCGCGCCGTACTGAATCCTGATCCTGGATGAGTGTTAGGTCGTGTGGAGGCTTAGGAATGCCTCGTGCCAGGAGGTGCAGAGGTGCTGGCGTTCAGCAATGTGGAAGGTAGCTCAGCCAGCGATGGCTTGGTGCGGCTCCCGCTTCAGAGGGGCTTCCCTAAGGCACTCGCCCCGTGTTTGCTTTAGAGCACCAGGGAGGGTTTCTTTGCCAGAAAAAGAATGAAATCTTAAAGAGCAAAATGAACTGAGTAAAGCTCCTGAGAAGTGCCGGGAGGATCATTATAGCTGATAAAAGGAAGAAGACTTATAGGTGGCTGTCTTTTCCCCCCATCTTATTTTTTTCTGCTTGCAGACGCTGGTATTTCAGTGTTGTTCTAGGAGTTACATAACACCAATGTCTATTAGATCAGAATAACAAGCTTTTTCTGCGAGGAAGCTGTAATTAATATAAGGGGCTATGACCCCCAGACCTGTAATACCAACTTAATCGGTTGGTTAAGGATTCTGACATCAGTGTTTTTTACCTCCGAAGGAAGTCAGTATGTTGCCATTTCTAAGTTTTTTAAGTCTTTCTGATGCGTGGAATTCCTTTCTTCAAAAGAATGAGTCACCTGGGAAGAGATTTTCCAGAGTTAAGTGTGTGTGAAACAGAGAAGGTACAGGATATAACTTAGTTTAAATAGTTGTGTGGCCTTTGCTGGTTAGCTCTTTCTGTGTTACATGCTTTTGTTGTATTAAACACTTTTATAGTGGCTTTTGAAATAGTAAGTCTTAGAAACTCAAGTGGAATGAAGGTAGTTTCTCTTGCTTATAAGCTAGACAAACAAGCCTGTGAAAAAGCAGAGCTGCTTCTGTGGCTGCAGGAAGACAAAAAGCTGGTTCAGCTGAGAGGTGCTCAAGTGTGCTGGGCTGGGAACAGGCTCTGCTCTGCAGCGTCTCACGGGTAGCAGCCCTGGCAGCTGGAGGTTTAACTGCAGCTGTTCGCAATGCTCCCGAGACCTGCAGCAGGACCCCGGCACTGAGCGGGCTAAGCAGCGATGCCACAGGCTGTGCTGCCGCCTCTTCCCGTTCCTCTGCCCTCTGCGCTGCTCTGAGCACCTCTGCGGGCCCTGCAGAGCCCCCTCCTGCCTTGCCCCCTTCCTGCTGCCCCGTCCTGGCAGCACCGTGGTTTGTTGTTGTGTCCTTGGAGCCTCTCCTCCTCTTTAATCTCATCGGCGGCTGAAGGAGGCTGATAAGATGGCAGAAGTGGATGGGGCAGCTGGGGTCATTCTGTGAAACGTCACGGAGAGAACGGGGCTGGAGGGAGGGATGGAAAGGAGCGCACATGGGCGCCGGGCCTGGCGATGCCGGGTCATCGCGTGGCTCACGTGGCAGGGGTGTATGTCTGCTTGTTATGTCACTACACGCTGCCTTTTTTTCCTGCCTTAGGGGGTGTGATAGCTTACATCAGCTCTTCGAGCTCGGCATCCAGCCCAGCCTCATGTCACAGCGAGAGCTCAGACAGCGGTTTCCAGTCATCCTCTTCGCCTGTGCCGTCCTCTCCAAACAGCTCCTCCTCAGAAAGCAGCTGCAGCAGTCGGGGCAGCGAGGGCTCTGATGCTGCACCCAAGAGCGACCGGCTGGAGGAGACTATTAAAACAAACCAGTCAAGTGTTGCTGGTTTGACAAAGGGCCATAATGGAGTCACAAGTACGTTTGGTGCCAGCTCCTGAAACCACCACCTTCCTCTTCCATTCCTGCAGTTTGGGGTTGTGCATATGTTACAGCCAGGTCTTACGGGTAGCTTCCTTGCTGGGCCCGTGGCCAAGCCTTGTTTTTTATTTTTTATGCTTTTTATGTTTCACCGTATGTATTGTACAGTATGGTACTACCACACTGATGCCAGTATGTGAAGGTCCCATTGTTACTAGTGTAAAGCAGTCTGTAAATACAGTCCGTTCTTTACTTCAGATTACCACCAGTGAAAACTGATTTGAAAAAAAATCCAAATATCAATATCAATTAAAAGAGCTAGATTTAAAAGACGCTATCAAACAAAAATAGTAGCAGTCAGTGTTTTTCTTCAGGGGTTTTTATGAAGGGGTGTCAAAAATCTAATTGTGCCTGTGAGCACACACATGCACACACTCACACGTAAAATAATTGAACTGCAAAAAAATTATCTTACACTGAGATATCAAAAAAATATATCATTTTGATTTAAGTCTTAATTTGTAGATGTAAGCATGAAGTAACTGTAAGATGGAAGTGGTTTTTGGGTTTTTTTGTTTGTTTTCTGTAATCACAAAGATCAACAATAAATACATTTTTCAACAGTTTGAAGGGGCAGGCCCATCGACAAACATTCTGCTGGAGTGCTTCTAGTTGTTGCTGTTGCTTAGCTTTAAGCTGACTTTGGGGCCACTAAAGTCGCCGATAAAATTTCCGTTAGCATCAGCAAGACCTGCGTTAGGTCAGCACTGTGGCTTGCTTGCAATACATTATAAAGTTGAGTGTTCTATAATATTTCTATTTTTTTAAGAAAACAATGTTTGTTATTGGCTAGGGAAACCGCAGTCTTTGTGGGCTTCCTTTTCCTGATGGAAAAAAAAAAAAGATTGAGACCAAACTTTGACCTACTTACCTAAATGGTCCTTTTAAAAGTATGTAAATGTAAGCAGACTTTCCTTTTCTGCTATTGAGCGCAGTGCTACTGTAATTGAAAGCCTAGTGAATACATGTTCTCTCCCTATTCTGCTGTGTTCTGTGTTTGTTTTTTTGCCCCTTGCCTTAAACTTGTACCTTCTGAACTGCTCAGGGTTTTCATATGTTCTTGTTTTCTGCTCCCGTGTTGCTTTTCTTTTATTATTATTATTATTACTGTTGACACTATATATTTTGCTTTGTCATGTTGAAAAGCTGGGAGCGTGTTCCTGTAGCTGTCACTGATTTTCGGTATTCTTGACTTCTCTGTTCTAATTCTAGAGTTTAATGGCATGGTTCTTCTGTGCAAAGTCTGTGGAGATGTCGCTTCAGGATTTCATTATGGTGTTCACGCCTGTGAGGGCTGCAAGGTGAGCCATATTTCTGCTCACCTTCCTGCTGCTGAAATGCTCAGGTTCTCTCATCTCAGTAAGGGAAAAGGGGTGATGACCGATGAAAAATCATGGGTATGCTTTTCTGTTGAACAATTTCAAGACATTTTGAAATATATGCAACTACTAGGTAGCAGGCATGCGTGTTAATATCAGGTGATACAGACCTATTGTTATAACACTGCAAATACTCTGTTCTGGGAATATAGTTTCTGTGAAGGTATTTATCAGCTTATGGGTTATGTGAAAGAGACCTTTGAAAAGCAGATGGTGCAAGTGGATGGTTTTGTTGACAAAGTTTTGAGATTGAAGGATCCAATTTTGGCTTTTAACTGTGGTTGCCTAAGAAGACTGAGGGCAAATCTTATAAACTGGCAATACAATGATGAAGTAAAGTGAAGATATTTTGATTTTGAGTGCTGACTATGCAGGCAAAAACTTAAAATCTAATTAGATTTATATTAGAAATTATAACCAGTTTGCTTTATATACAGATGGATGATGTACTGGGGGGTAGTAGGTCGTGAGGAGTTGTGTGTTCTTGCACTCACTGATGGCTCTGAAGCAGTCTAAAACACACTGAAATTCTTTTATGGGTGCAGAAAGGTGAATGGTGACAGAAGAATTTGACAAACACTGCAATAGTCACCGTTTTTTGTTTGCAGGGTTTTTTCCGAAGGAGCATTCAGCAAAATATCCAGTATAAGAAGTGTTTGAAGAATAACAACTGCTCCATAATGAGGATGAACAGGAACAGATGCCAGCAGTGCCGTTTCAAAAAATGTCTCTCCGTTGGAATGTCAAGAGACGGTACGTCCCCAGGCGAGCACTGCTTGCCTCAACACAAGCCGGGAGGGATCTGGGCTTCAGGAAAGGCAGCTGACCCCGTTGCCCAGACAGCTTCCCTGTCACAGCACGTTCCCGTGAGCTTGCCTGCTTTTCTGTGACTGTCCTGAACTGGTAGCATAATACTGGCCAGAGATGTGTCCTTGCAGATTACTGCAGTGGCTGCCTGCCCTGCGGTGCTGTGGTAGGGGCACAGATGTAACAAGAGACTTAATCTTGTTTTACCCAGTTAATATTTTAAGCTGTATTTTGCTTGGGACAAGATTGCTCCAACCCCCATCTCTCTCTTTCTTCAATAAAAGGCAATTCTGTCCAAGCTAAATGGACTAAGTGGAACAGCTTTTTTTTGAGGTGAATGAGGCCAGTTGGAGGTCATGCAATTTTAGTAGCCTTAGAGCAACCTTTATAGCGTACAAGGAGTTTTTTGTTGCGTGGATCAAGGATGTAACTACATAACTCCTTTAATTTGCTTTTGGTGGAGGTGGGGCAAAAGGTTCAGCTGAGTCTCTAGCCCCATTTCTGCAGTCTACTTCTTGTGACCTTTTTCTTATTGGAATCTTGAAAATATGTTTTGTTAGTCTGCTAAACCTTGCCTGTCACAAACAGTTCTTTCTTGTGTTTCACTTTTTAATTTTCTCTGGGTTTTTACTTCACAAGAACTAGGAATTTTGGGCTATTATTATTGGGCTTACTGGGTGGAGTGTTAAAACTTACTTCAAATAATTGTTCTGGGCTCTTGTCATGCATATGAGTTATTTCATCCCCTAGGCGCTTGTTTGTGCATAAGGTTGCACTCGCTTTAATGAAGGAGATTTAATGATGAGCTACTGTGTGAACCTAATTACATTCAATTGAAACTGGTCATAAGCCCCTACAAGACCATGGTTGGACAGGATGGTAAAAGTAGTTGTAGATTCCTTAGGTTAGGGTTAAAAGTTATGCAGCCACATGATGACCGTCCCCTTGTCAGCAGAAAATGTCCTGGCAAATTTTTCTTATAACTTTGTCTTGAAAAGGTAAGTCTCATTCAGTATAGATTGTCTTTGTTTTGTGAGATATAAAATGTACCCACAAGGAACTGTCCCGTAGGACTTACATTAAAATACAAGAACTGTGTTTAAATTTGTCTAATTGTCAGCACATAAAGTTGTACCAATTTAATTGAGCCGGTCTTAAATCCTGCTACTTAATCACATCTGTGTCTGTAATCCATAGCCAAATTTGGAGGGGGGAAGGAAAAAAAAAACCAAACAGAAAAAGGAAAATGATTTATTTTAGAGCTACCTTTCTTTGTATGTAAACAGCATCTCATGCCTATCCTATGTCCGTGAAGGTCCTTGACTTGGTGATGATAACTCTGCTAGTAGTATCAATGACAGCAGTGTTAATGCTTCCTCTTAGAAGGCAAGGTTACTGTTGTTTAATGTATTTTTTTTTCTTTTTTTTGGGGGGGGAGGTGCTGTTTTTTGCATTTTGGTTTGGTGCTGATGACTATCGCTAATGCTTTCAGGACTGACTTTTTTTTCCCCCCCCTCCTTTCTCCATTTTGGTAGCTGTTAGATTTGGCCGCATTCCTAAACGTGAAAAGCAAAGGATGCTGATTGAAATGCAGAGTGCCATGAAAACCATGATGAACAATCAGTTCAGCAGCCACTTGCCCAATGAAACATTAACAGAGCCTCAAGATCAGGCCCTTCAAGAAGAGCTTTCCTCCAAGCCCAAGCAAGAGCAAGAAAACATCAAAAGCCCTTCTCCTCCTCCTAGCTCTGACATTGCTAAGTAAGAAGTGATCGGTATGGTCACCAGGGCCCACAAGGACACTTTCATGTACAACCAAGAACAGTCTCAAAACCCAGTGGAGCCCATGCAGCCCCAGAGCGGGGAGAGAGTTTCAAACAACCCTGAACAATATATCTTGAGTAACGAGTGCTGTCCTGCTGGGCTCAGTGGCCCCCAGTACCCTGAAAGCGAGCAGCACCTTGGCGGACAGTACAACGGGAGAAATCCCCTGCATTATCCAGGCGGGCACGCCGGGAGTTTCACCAGCGGCCACTGCGTGACCTTCCCCAACGGTTACGCTCAGCGCATGTGTGACAGGATCCCTGAAGGTGTCTTTTCTCCAAACAAGAGTGCCAGTTACTCTTGCAGTACTGGAGGGAGATTGCATCTGGTATATTGATATCAATTGTGTGACTTGACTTGGTGAAAGGCTTAGTGATGCTCTTTTAGTGTTTTGGAAAATGTGTGGTATGTGTGGATAGGTGTGTGTGTGTGTGTATGTATGTGTGTGTATATATATATATATATATATATATGTATATAAAATAAGAATGGGTCCAGCTGTTCCACTTTGGTAAGTGAAGCTGCATGCAGCTAACTGGCACAGCTGCTAAAACTCAAAATAGGACAGTTTAGTAGGACAGTTTTGATAGTGCAGATTGCGATGAAGGAAACTGAGTGGTGTGTAGGATTTGAAACCAGAAACTTTTTATTTACTCAGGTGTGAGTTAGTTGAGAATAGACTAATAGACACCAAAGGGCCTTGGTTGAAGAATTTTTTTTTTCAACTGAGTTGATTTTAAGCAAAAGCAGTGTTGGGAGTTCGTAGGTTGCCTTCTTCACTGAATGTCCTTGAAGGATTCACAGGCAGATGCGCTGTGTTTTCCTTTAAAGAATATTCAAAGTTTCTGGAGTGAAACCTCAGGACTAGGGCTATTTCTGGGTCTTACTGGTGTCCTCTGAAATTTGTCTTGTTGGGTGGGATATCTGTCTTTCTTTAACTATTTTTCTTCCCTTCAAATGGGGACAGGCTTATTTTCTTACAGACTGCATAAAATAGGGGCTCAACGGGAGCCATATTGCAAGCATCCTTCTTCCCTGGAACATCCTCTTATCTGAACAGAGGCAAGAGTGAGCTATATTGCTAAAATCCTTTGGGAAAAGTTCAGCATCTTTTCTGTAGTACTTACCTGGAAATGCCAAGAGGACTGATGTGCTTATGTCTCCTAGAAGACTGCACTAGAGTAGTTTCTCACTGAATTCTTAACAAAGGTAGTTCCTATTTTCTTGCATATGTGTGGATTTTTTTTTCTCTTTCTGCTTAACAGTTCCCTCCTTCTGCCTTGCACCTGCTGCTTCCCTGTTATTCAGGCAGCCAGTTCTGTAAGCCCCTTAAAATAGACTGTCCTTCTCTTTATCACTGTAACCGCCTGGCATGGGAGAACATGGCATCCTTGTTCTCATCCCGTGCTACTCTCCAAACACAAGCCCCTGACCTTTTTGAAGTACTTGAGCTGAGAGTTTGTTTTTTTCCCCCGGGTTGGTAAGGGTTCTTCACAGCGCTCGGAGGCTTCTGAGAAACCTCTGTGTTTGGAGAGTTGTTTGTTTTGATGCTGGATTATTTTGTTTTCCTGACTGTTGCGTGTGTGGACCCTGCCACCCCTGGCAGGCTCTGACCTCTAATTGCAGACTCTGGACACAGCAGCGTTGCAAATAATAATCATCCTCCACCTTTCTTCCTTGCAGGGAAAGTGTGTGGAGTCATTTCAGTGGCATCCTTGGCGCTCCTGAGAAGCAGAGGTTAAACCTGTCCGTGTGGGCGGGCAGTGGCTGCACCTGGGGAGGCCCAAGCAGTTGTGTTGGCCTGTGTCTAGTAGCTGCAGGGAGGTTTAACACAGCCTGCAGTGAGGAAACCAAACCGAATCAGAGCCCTGCATCCCCAGCACAAATAAAGATTTTGCCAGAGGATTCAATGAGAGCAGGATTTGAGTAAAACGAGTCAGGAGCTGTAGGCAAATTTAATTAGGCTGTGATCCATTGCAGAGGCAGATGTCTGGGAGTTGTTTGGAGGTTTTTTTGCCAGTTCTCCTCGTGTCTCAAAAAGCACTGCTTACAACTTGCTGCTCAAAAGGTGTTTCTAAAAAAGCTAGTGACTGAACAAGTTGAAAATTTCCTCCACGGGCATTAGTCTCGAGTATAAAAATGTCTCTAGAGTTTTTAGAAACACTATGAATAGGTGAGAACACTGTCCTTCCCTCAAGTTAGGGTAGTCAGGTGTAGCATGCGAAAATGAGGTGGTTTTGCTGCCTGATTCAGAACAGGGTGCTGACAGAGTCTCCTTACTTTTGGTAAGTACTGTATATTTGATAGTGTTGTATGAACTCTTGTAATATCGTACAGCAGAGATTAGTGTCTGCTTTGCTGTTCATTACGTACCCAGGCCTTCCTTTTGTCAGAAAGATTCCCAAATGAAAAATAGTTCAGGCTGACTCCAAATGATTTTCAGTTTATTTAAAAAGGTCCTCCTCCCCCAGCAAAGTAGTAATGTGAATGTGGAGATTGTCCTCAGATGCATAGATTGTGTCCTTGTTTGTAACTGAACCAGAAAGTCTGCAATTCCATTCTTTCCCCTTTGGGGGAGAGAGAAAGAAGAGGAATTTCTACATGCCGACTGCCCAGGCAGGAACTCTTATGAGTTTGCTGAGGGGAAAGGTACAGGAAAACATAGATGTTTTCTTTTCCTTGGCCGACTTCCCATGCAGTGAATTGCTAGACAGTTCTGGGGTCTGAGATAGCCAGCAGAAGGAGTGTAGCTCTGAGGAATTAGTAATATGTCTCACTGTTTGCTGTTTGCTCTGCTGGCATTATGTAGAGTTGCCTCTACCATCTGGTTCTTCAGAGGAGTACAGATTTACAGGAATTCCTGTCCTTGCTGAAGATGGGTGAAATGAATACGAGAAGGTTTATCCGTCATTAATACCTCATTTTAGAAAGTAGGACTGAAAGTATTTGAGTGACTGGTGGGGTTTTGTAGTGTGAGTTTGCTGACAGCCTTAACTCATATGTCTGAATTTTTTTTTTTTTTTTCTTCTGTGATCGAGATCCCATTTTAATGGGTTCGGACTTCTCATACAGAAAGACTCTCTGTGTTTGTGCTAAAGAACAAGTATTTTAGCATCTGCTGACTGTTTGCGGACAGAAGTGAAATACAGGATTTTAATCTTCCTTCTCTGATTAAAAAGAAATAGACAAAAAAAAAAAAAAAAAAAAGCCCAAACCCCACAAATACCCAGGAAAGGAAGCTTGGTCTGGCAGTGAGGGCGTAGACCTGTGACTCAGGAAACCTACGTTCAGTTTTTTACTCTGGTGCTGACGTCTGTTACCTTGACTAAAACACTTGACATGCCTGCAAAACAAGAAAGATCTATGAGATCTTGTGTGGTAGAGATGGTGAGATTACAGGCAATTGATTGTGAAATGAAAAATAATTGTGAGGTTACAGGGATAACACAGGTAAGAAGTCCAAACATCAAACATGAGTGGGATCAGGGAAGAAACACATTGCTCTAGATTGTCTCAAGTACATTTTATTTCAGACAATACTGCAGTTTCCAAAGTCAGCAGTTTCAACAGGCTGGTAATGGTCTCTTTTAACAGCAACAGCAAAAAAAAAATCCAGTTGATTTGGGAATTGACTGAGGAATAGTGTTTATCTTTGTATATTGCTTTGCAAAGTTTTCTTCGGGAATAAACAGTTTTCTTTGAAATATTTGTCAGTATTTGAAATGTGTAAGTGTTGTGTTCTGTCTGTATTTTGAAAACATTAGGTGTGTCCAATGAGTAAGACTCCTTATGTGGACCCAAACAAGTCTGGCCATGAAGTCTGGGAAGAGTTTTCCCTGAGTTTTACCCCTGCAGTGAAGGAAGTGGTGGAGTTTGCCAAGCGCATCCCGGGTTTCCGAGACCTCTCCCAACACGATCAGGTTAACCTTCTGAAGGCTGGGACCTTTGAGGTGAGAACACTGCGTGTCTACTGCGAACTCTGCACACTGCGCGTCCTGCCAGCCCCCTTAGGAGCAGCAATAAATAGCAGCAGGTTATTTCGGGCCACGCCGGCTCGTTCGTGGGTGCCAGCTCCGAGCGCCCCTTTAGCTGACAGCGGCAAGTGCTTCTGGTCAGATTGTGGTGAGCTGTCCTGGCTCACTCACAAGCTGTATTGCCCTTTACCCACCCCTGCTGCCTGGGTGGGATTAAATGACTAATGAGGAATTGCTGGGTTTGTATCTTAGCCGTTATTTTGGTGGCTACTGTTGCTTAGCCTGGAGCGAAGCGGATCGCACCTGGAAGGGTGGATGGCTTCAGAAAGCTGCCTACCATCACACCATCTTTTAGAGAAATGTGTTTTATCGCTGTGCGTCCCACCTCCTGCAGCCCTGTCCCTTTACCAGAGCACCGGGCCTGAGCCGCATTGCCTCTGGTGGCAACGGGGGCCAGTGCAGCCTCCGCCATGGCCCGTGCAGTGATACTGATCCCAGCTGTGCTGCTGAGCCCAGCTCATGCTGCGTCCGTCCGCAGCCCAACAGGCCATCCCTGCAGGCTCTGATCCCACCAGGGCCTCAGGATTAATGTCACCCCTTGCAGCCAGGACATATGTGTGAGCTAGTGATGCTAAACTGGCAGCGCTGCCAGAATGCTCCATGCTGCGTTATAATTAGTGACCTTCACCAGCTGACCTTTGCTTAAAGACCTGCTCTCATCTGTTGGAGACCAGGTGCATATTTTATAAGTGTCCAAATGTGAAGTTTAAGCTTAGAGGGCCAGAGGAGATAAGTCTCAAGAATTCAAGTTATCGTGCTACGTTTTTCTTTTGTGGCGGCAAGATAGGGTGTTTTAGGGGGAAGGTAGGATGGAAGGCAGGGTTAGTGATGCTTTTTCAGAGGAATGCTAGTTTTTGCACTTACCTGAAAACATTTCTCTTGTAGTGTGTTGGGTCTCTTCTGTGCATTTATAAAATCTAGTTCTAAAATGGATAATTGTTGGGCTGAAAGAGGCAACTTACACTGTTAAAATTTAAGTACGCTGCCTTGAATTTGTTAGTTTCTGGGTTTTACCATTCCTCCTTCCATTTGCTGTTACGTATTTTTACCTATTTTTGACCTTTTAGTTTTTGTGTGAAACTGTTCCATAGCCGAGGGCTCTCTCCTTAGGTCTGGAGTCTCAGCCTCTTAAGCTGCTGTTCCCGTTATACAAAGCTGTTGGTTCCGTCTCCTGTGCGGAGGCACGCTGTCCTGTGTGCTCAAAGGAGGCTTGAAAACCTTGCTTGGACCACTCACCTAGCTTAAAGCCAAACCCTCGTGTTTTCAAGTAAACTGTTTTGTTTTGGCATTTCTTTACTTGGATCTTCAGCCTTGTTCATATGCCTTTTTTTCTGGTCACAGGTACCACTGTTTGAAAGGTTTCCATATCCATGGGAATTAATAATATTGTCCAGCTGTATGCTTATTCCTATTCCCTTATGTATATGAAACATTAATAATAATTTATGTTAGTGAACTGGAACCTGTAGTCAAAGGCCTGCATGGTGTCTTAATAACTGGAAAAGAAAAAAACTGCAGAGCAATTAAAGCAACAAACACAAGGACTAACCATTTTGGTCAGTCCCTGTGAATGGGGCTGCTGCTGGGGGAGCAGTCCTGGGCAGGCGCATGGAGATGTGGGGTTTCCAAAGCACCATAGCTGTACATATATGTTCTCACACCACGTATAGATGTAGCACAGCATATAGATGTATGCTTTCGCACATAGGCGAGCTGAGAAGTCCGCTCAGATCTTGTGTTGCTTTACATGGGGCCAGTGCAGAAGCAGCATTGAGCCCAAACCAAGGGTCCCATCTGGAACTGAGCTGATTCTCCCCCTCAGAATGTAGTGGTAGAACTGCTAAGCCTGTTGAATCCACTGGGCTAGTGACTCGATTTATGCACAGACTCACAAACTTGGTAATTTGGCTGCACGTGGTGGGGAAGTGAGTGGGCACTTGCCTGTGTGGAATTTTTATGCGCTTGCTTTGCTGTGATCAAATGACGGGATTGATCAGCCACATCCTCAGCATGCACAAATAGGAATCTTGCTTGAAGTGAAACAGGAAGAATTACGTGCTGTAACCATCATCTGAACTACTCTTTCTTGGACAGAAATGTTAACATTGAAAGCTATAGGCTGGGTTTCTGCCTAACCTAAATCAGTGCAGCTTCCTGGATTTCAGTTTTGGAGAATAGCATTAATACTGGGTTGCCCAGAAGATACTGCTCGTTATTTCAAGTTAGTGATCCCTCATTTTTAAAACACAGTAGTAAAAAGGGCTTAGCATTTTGACCTGGAAAGTTGTGGAGTACCTGGCTAGTCCCTGCAGATGCACAAGGTCAGCTTGAGCTCTGCTCACCTCTTCAGTCTCACGTGGTTGTGTTCTGAGGGCTTCCCTAGTGCCTAGTTTTCTGCACACGGTAGCGAGTGTCATCAGAGGACATAGAACTTAGGTAACAAGAGTGAATAATATATAGTGCTCATGTGTTCATCCAGATTGCTGCATGTCATTTGGCTGTTTAAATTTAGCAGCAGGTCTTGTAATGTGCATGAATGGTATTTGAATTCTTAAACATTTTTTTTCCTGAACCCTTCTTCCTTAAGCTTGTCAAAGGCTCTAGTCTTTGCTGAAAACCTGTTTCTCCTCTCATCTGTAGTAAATGCCATTTAAATTAATGTAGTTATGTAGGGTAAGTGAGAAGACTGACACACCAAGAGGGTACAGCAAGTCTGACGTTTGAGCCAATACCAGTTGGCTCATTTTCTCCAAAAAAGAAGGCTGTTGTGTGCAACTTAAACCTGGAAAAATGTAAATAAGCTTGTTGAACATGAGCAAATGAAACTTTACAAGCCATTCCACAGGGAAACATTTCACAATACGGCTGAGAAACCACAAGAGAAATTTCAGCCTAGAGGGGTAAGTTCAGCACATCTCAACTGCTCCAGCCCAGGTGCTTATATCAAAGGGGTGTTCCCAGCTGCAGCTGGAGACCAGGTGCTGTTTTAAGCCCTGCTGTCCTGGCCTTTTGCAGGCTGTTCTTGTGGCTCCCTTCTCCCCGAGTGCATTAACATTCCCGTGGAAAGCGCCACGTGGCATGGTCCTCCTCCAAGGAATGCTTGCTGGGCCAGATCACCGGGTGGTGTAAATCAGCACTGGTTCAGTGGAACTTCTCCAGTTTACACCAAGCAAGAATCTGGTTTCATGCCTTTATTTTGCTGTTCCTGGCCAAGAAAACGTTTCTTTTAATGCTCTGTATGCCTTTGGCTGCCCTTTGGCTTAAGCAAGTTGTCCTACTGGCATATTTATGAATGGCACTGTCTTTGTGGCTCAGGCTGTCAGGCTTAAATTTTCATTTTCCTGCCTTTCAGGTGCTAAAGCCCCCTGCCCTGCATCCATTCCCTATTTTCTTCTTTGCTCGTTTCACAGAGGCTACTGAAGCAGAGCTTGCATTGTCTTTTTACAGCTCAATAGCATGCTGACTTTTCTATACAAAACGCTTGTACAGTGGGTAATAAGAATAAGCCAGTTAGAGTGATGTTAAATTGATTTCTCTTCTCTTTGATTTTCTAGAAATACACTTACATTGCTTTCTGTTTTTCTTTTTTTGTCTCTCCTTTCACCAGGTTTTAATGGTACGATTTGCATCTTTGTTTGATGCAAAGGAACGTACCGTCACCTTCCTCAGTGGAAAGAAGTACAGCGTGGATGACTTGCATTCAATGGGAGCTGGTGATCTGCTCAACTCCATGTTTGAATTCAGTGAGAAACTAAATGCCCTGCAACTTAGTGATGAGGAAATGAGTTTGTTTACAGCGGTTGTTCTGGTATCTGCTGGTAAGGAGAGAAAGTTATCTAAAACTATGCTACATTTTGAATGTCTGTATCAAAAGATTTTTATAAAAATATATTTTGGTGTTTCAAGACTAAGCCTAGTTTAGCAGCTTTCAAGCTACTAGCAGCCTGTATTTTTTTATATATTCTATCTAATATTGTCTTCAGGAAAACATGGTAAAGGGATTTTTCTAAAATTTTATGGAATTCAAAAATACAGTTAGTAGTAGAAAAATCTGAGTTTTGTGGGTGTGTTTTCTCCCTCTCATTTGAGAGATTGGGTGGAAATTGAGGAAGGATGGAGCTTATTGCCCAGTAGCTCTGTAGAAGCCATTTGTCTGACTCTGTCCTGCGAAACTTTTAAGAGTCAGGGAAGTGTCGATGAAATTACTTGACTTACAGAGCCTAAGTCTTTAGGTGATACTTCTACTTCCAAATATCGTCACTGAAGCCTACTGCATATCCTATTTAACTTTAAATCTAGCAGTTTGTTCTCTCTTCTTGTCAGTGAGGGCCCTCTTCGTGGGCATTGTAACTCCTTACTGTGAAATGTTTGCCAATCCATTAACATCTTCATCGGTCTCATATCTTGTTTCAGTCCCTGGAAATACAGAACACACTGGCCCAGGTCCAGAGGAGGATTAAGCACCTACTTCTCTAGTATTATCGAAAGCCCAAATTAGGCACGTTAGCTCTGCATGTCATGCCTGGAGTACAAGGTGTAGAATCCTGCTTGCTGGATATGGAGCTCTCTAAAAATGGTCGTGATGCCTATTCTCCAGGCAATAAGCCTGCCTCCAGAGGGAGGACACCCCAGGCATGAGGCTGCAAACACTTGAAGCTTCTGTAATTGAGGTAGGACAATTCAGTCCAGGAGCTCCGTGCAGGGCCACTTGAAACTTGATAGTATGGGATGGAGCAGCTGGAGCCTCTTAAACATGTAAGCAGTGGTAATGAGAGGGGTGGTACATGGCTGGCAAGCTCAAAAGCCAGAAGGAATGGCAGCATGAAGTGCAGCACTGTCAGTGAAAACATTTCGGTAGTGGAGAGGGATGTGGGGTTTTAGTCTTTATTCCAGACTCTACTTTACATATTCTGAAAAATAAAACTGGCAAGGGGGGAAAAAAAAGATGACAAGAACCACAGGACCTTTAAAACCAGGACTGAAAACCACGAGATGTCTTCCCTTCCTGTGCAATGTCACGACAAGGCTACAGCCACGCTCTAGTTTGTCCAGCTGCTGGGCCCCCAAGAACATCACCGCCCCACGCAGCCTCTTTTGAACCTTGGTGGCTGCATGTGCTCTGCTGGGCATGCGCGCAGCCAGGGAGTGTGGCGAGCACCCAGGGCCCTGCGTGGCCTGTTCCCTGCTGCTGCTGGATCCCTGCAGGGTTTATCTTGGAGCTGGTGCATAGCGTGGGTGGTTCTAGGCAAGTACAACACAGCATCAGGGCCACGGAGCAGGACAGCAAGACAAGGTGTTTGGTACTGAGGCATCTCACAGCTGCTGAGGGAGGTTCTTCAGATCATGGCTTTGGCTGTAGGCGCTGCGTGACTTAGTTTCCCGGACTGCTCGCCAATCCCAACCTGCAAAGCTTCTTGAGAAAATACTTCTGGCGTTTCATAAAGCACAACCTGATTGGTCCTAAAATGCATAAGAATGTGGGGGTTTAATAGTTTAACATTAACATATTCCAAATGTGCAGATTGAAAGATAAGCACGGTAGCAGTGAAGAACATATATAATTTCTTACAACCTCTTACTCTGTCATATGTCAAGGAAAGAAGAAACAGGGCCATACAGTGAGTATGCAGAGGTGTTCCTGGTGGTGGTGTGGAATTACCTTGGTGCCACCCCAAAGCTAAATGAACACTCTGGTTTCATTTAATTGGAAGTGTTCAGTATGGAGAGGAAAGGGCAAGATGGATCATGGACACTGGCATGTGAAGAAAGAGGAAGCAAGGTGGAAACAAAGCCAAAAGAAGGCATTTCATGGAGGTCTAGAGACAAGATCGTCTCTCACCAAGCTGAGGGTTACACTGTGTGATTGCAAGATTAAAAAACAACAACAAACAAGCAAAACATGTAAAAACCCCTTAAATCCCCCATGTTTTATTCTCCATTAGTTGAATGGTAAAAACAAAGATTTCATCTGGGCACTGGAAACAGCCAGAAGTAATGTGAGAGGGAAAAGAAAGAGTTGGATTTACTGAGCAGAGTAGACCCCCCACAGCTACTACGACAGTCCAAATAGACTTTTAGGGTTGCAGTTCTCTTCCAAAAGAGACAGGGGAGTGTCACTGTGTTTGTACGCACGAGTTCTCGAGAAACCTTGTCTCATGGACTCTGTGCAAATCTGGTCAGACCCTGTTCGGGGCAGAATAAAGCTAAACAGATGCTTAGAGGATGGCAAGTAAAGGCCAGGAGCCCCCTTCTCTTCTGTCTGTCTCCTCGTTAAGCTCTTTCTGTCTTGATACATGGCTGGATTGAATGCAAGCACCTAGAGAAGGAGAGCGGCTACTTCTCAGACCTAGTGGACAGTGTTCACAGAGCAATAAATACATGTGTTCATAAATACAGATTGACATTGACTAAAGTTCCTAATTGTTAGGGCAAAAATGTTCTGGAGCAGTCTTTCTGCAGTTAAAAAAAAAAAACCACAAAATCAAAAAAACAAACAAAAAATGTTTTAAGACAGATCTCTAAGTAATATCTTTTCCCATAAAGGTGGGGAGTTACATGGAATGCTCCAGGAGGACTTTCTAGATGCTGTTCACCTGAGCAGTTCGATCAGATTTACAATGACAGCATAAGGAAAGGATTCCCAGGCTGCCTGTAGGAGCTGGCTCTGTGCTACCCCAGAGAGCTGCTGTCATTGCGTGTCCCACTTCTGCAAAGTGCTTAAATACCTGTACACTTCAAAGCGCATTGCGCTTCGCATCAGTCACTTGTGTATGTGCAGCCTGGGCTCAATTGGCGTGGAATTTAAGAAGGGAGACCAGACTGCGGCTTAGAAAAGGGAAAAAACAAAACAAAACCCCCCTCACACACACTACTGTGGTATATCTTGTTTAAAAAATGGTCTTTTTAAGCTCCTTACTTAGGCTCTGCGTAAAGAAAACGGGTATATGCTGAATAAAGCTTTCTTAATAGCTATTTTACATGGAGTAACTACAGTATGTGAAAGTACAGCATTTTTCTTGATACCGAAAGTCTTCTTTTCCTCTTTATTTGAGAATGATATACCCCCAAATTCCCCTCTGAAATTTCATTTTGTCAATGCTTGATAAGAACACTTAAAGATAGGGCTGGCCCTGGGAAGGCTTCTGTTCCCACTGGCCCCAGGGGGTCAGTTTATTAGACTGTGGGGCGGTTTGTTGTTTCTTTGTTTTTTGGGTTTTTTTCCTCCCTGCCTGCTTCTGGACTGGGAGTTCCTCCTGCCTCCTCCAAATGTGAAGCTCTACACTCAACATCCAGCCTTGAAAAATGCTTGAAATACTCACTTCAAAGTGTCCATGTTCTCTGTTTGCATTGAAAGTTGTGATTCAGCCAAGCAGTTAAATACATGCTTCAATCTGGCCTTTTCTGGAAATGTGAGCGTTGAAAAAAAGAGTGATTGAGGGCTGCCAGTTTAGAGTTCAACAAGATCTTAATACTATGTAAAGTTGCAGTAATGTTTAAGAGACTTCAGGTGTATGGGTTTGGAGCTCCTGACATGAGTAATTTTTTTTTCTGCTATTTTGTTTAATTCTTAAATAAGTGTTGAAAATACTGAAAGCTACATCTGTTTAGTCCTTTTTCCCATCCCCTTCCCCTCATTCTTCTCTCCTTAGATCGATCCGGAATAGAAAATGTCAATTCTGTGGAGGCACTTCAGGAGACACTAATTCGCGCTTTAAGGACCTTAATCATGAAAAACCACCCAAACGAAGCCTCTATTTTCACAAAACTTCTTTTGAAGTTACCTGACTTGCGTTCCTTGAACAACATGCACTCTGAAGAACTCCTGGCCTTCAAAGTTCACCCATAGGCCTTTAGGTCTCACTCGTACCTGGACTTGCCTCGTGTTAAACTGTTTTGTGCTCAAATATGTATTTATACAATTGTACCACTTGTTGGAGAGAGAAGAGCTCACAGGCTGTGAGCAGCCGATGGCCGTTCCGTAACCTTGCAATAATGCTTCAGCGGGTGCTCTCACGGCGCGGCGGTCGGCGTCCTCCACCGTGTCCAAACCCAGCTGCGCTGCAGCGGAGGAGGTTACGAGGAGCCGGAGTTGGCGCTGACTGTATTCCCACACGGAAAAAAAGAACCACCACTGCCCTCTGAAGTACCTGAGTGCAGAATAGCTGTGTATGTGCACATGGAATGGGGTGGGAACAATGCTGTGTTAATAGGAAAATGGAAGAGCTGACTTAATTGGTCTTTCCCTTATCTAATATATGTGTGTCTGTGTCTCTTAACTCATGGTTGTTCCATTAAACCTGGTGGAATGATTTCAGCCTACACCAACTCTTCACTGAGTGTGTGTGTGTGTGTGTGTGTGTGTGTGTGTTCATGCCATGTGTATATAGTATAAATAGTTACGTAATGGGTGTTTATGACTATATAAAGTACAGAGTTGTGTGTATATATGTGTATGTATATAAATAGTTCTATACATAAAGTATACATATTTCTTCACAATATTTTAAACTGTGAAGGAATTCAAACTTAAAAAAGTGATCTATGGAAAGAACCAAATAGATGCACTTTGTGTATTGCTGAACTAATTATCTGACCATTTCTAATTTTTAGGAAACATCAAATTTGCATTAATATGCTGTGTTTGTTAATTTAAAAAATAGAGTGTCACCACAGGAGCAGAGTCGGATTCAACTTTCATAACAGCTCATAGAGAATCTGAAGTGGAGGTTGTTGTTCGTGGTACTAATCAGGTTGGTTGTTCATTGCCACAGAGGTTCTTACGTTCTCATAATGGATAAAGAAGCACCAGATGCTCTTCTTAAATTTCAGCACAGCCAAGAAGAAACTATTAGATGAATAACAGCATCTATCAGAAAAAATATGGGAAAAATATATCCATGATTGCATTTGGGTGTACGTGTGTGCTGTGACCATTTATTTCTTACAGTGCTTGCTTTGCTGCCTCATTGCTAAATGAGAATCTGACACGAAAATGTGAGATTCCATATGTCTGTTCACAATTTGGACTTTGTGGTTCCCATGCCTGTTCTTCTGGAGCTCTCCACTACTGTGTGTCTGTGTGCATGTGCATGTATGTGCAGAGAAGGTTCACTGGATAGTCTGGATTTTTATTTAAAAAAAAAAAACCTAAACAAATGGGACTTTTTTGTTTTGTCTATGCCAGTAGCAAATTACAAAGCAGATCCTCGAGTTCTAAGATTCTGCTGCTTTTTCATCTAGGAAAACGATTCTCTGTTTGTTTGTTTGTTTGTTTTGTTTTCTTCTTTTGCATTTGTAGCAGGACCTGGCACCAGAAAAGAGAGACTGAAAAAGCCAAAGCAGTTGCGCTCGAGCTAGTTATGTTGGTTTTGCGAATGCGGGAGGATGATGTTCCATTACCCTGGTGTTTAGCTTTAGCTTTGCCTTAGAGGTAGCCCTCGTAGCGTTTCGTAACACTAATGACTCTATGGAGAAATGTCTCAATTCGTTACTGTATATCAATTTATGCAGTAGTTAGGGCCACAAGCCGCAGAGCTGCCTGACTGCAGACCTCCTGCTCACGCTGTAGGAGTAAGTCTGGAGCAGCAGCACGTCAGCAGGAGTCCCGTGCCCGCGGTCGAGGCTGAGTAGCCGCAGTGCTGCCTACAAGCGTCCAGAGAAGCCCTGTCCTGGGGCTGATCCCCCCCAGAGCCTCTCCACAGCTCGGATTGTCTTCGGGCTGGGAGCTTTCCTCCTGGGAAGCGGTAAGGAGCAATGCCCGAAGTGCGGGGACCCAGAGCGGGCAGGTGCCCAAGTAAAAGGGAGCTCAGGAAGTTGCAGCTCTGGCCTTGGCCACAAGACAGGAGAGCAGAGCCCTGCCCTTGCTTGTCAGCTGCTGCAGGGAGCCTTGTGCTCCTTCCAGCTACTTAACCACTGGATAACGGCACCCAAAACATACACTTCTGCTGTCCAAATGCGTTACCAGGGCATATTGTCCTAACTTAGGTTAGTGATCTGTATTCTGCCAGTATTACCTGTATGAGAGCTTCACTGAATTCTGCATTGAACCATTCAGAGTTGAGAAAGGGCACAGGAACATGTTCTGTATTACCTAGGAGCTGAGATGTCTTCTTTGTAGACCCCATTTCAAATGTGGAAAACAAAACTAAGCCTTGGTTCTTTGGGGAGGGGAGGAGAAGAGGCTTTTTGCAGAGGATGCCACCTTACAACCGTGATTTTTTTTTTCTTTTTCTTTTAAAACTGTATTATTAAGCCTTTAGGAATGTATAACCAGGACTGAGTAATTACCGCTTACTGAATTTTAGTTAGATTGACTATGTATGCCTATAGATAGATATTCTAACTTGTGCAATTTCATTTGAAATAAATCTTCCTGTACATACTGAAAAAACTCCTATATAACAAAGTCCCAAACAGATTGACTGAACAAAAAAGGTTGATTTAAGTAGTGTTTAAAAGTGACCCATACACTACAAACCCTAGCTTTGAAAATCTAAACTCATTGTATTAGCCATGTATCGTGAGTTCTTCTTTTACTGTGTCACTGGTTATACACTTGTTAAATGCTGAGATAATAGACTTCTTGCCAGGCATTTGAGTACTGTAGATTGGGTCATTGCTGAAAGATTAATATAATGTACTGTATGACTTAAATGAAATTTTTATTCTTGATTTTATTCTTGTTTTAAAAGATTAAATATGGGCATTATGTCAGCAAGCTAAATGGTGTTTCTGTGTTCTTTGTTTTTTTCTGTACCAAAGCTGGAGGGGAAGAGCAGTATTAGATGATGAGTATCAGTTGCTGCATGCTTACCGAAGCTGTGCTGATTTACAGAGCCTGGGAGCCTATATCTCACTTTTACTATAGAACCAATGCTTTTTGCCAGGTGGATGAATTGTTTTGTTTCTGGTGCACTTATTGCAGTTAGCAACAGGCTTTGGAGGTGGGAAAGGGGGCTGTTTCATTAAAATGAGTAGTAAATCAAACACCCTCATTACTTTTTTTTTTCAGTTACAAGACTATTTTCTTGAAGTGCATGTGACTGAGAGTTCAGCACAGACGGTCTTAGGGCAAGGTTAGAAGAAAGCCACGCACGTAGCACGCAGCGGCCGTGTCCTTTTCCCTCTCTGGCTGCGAGCGCCTCACCACAGCGAGCGGGAGGAGCAGGACGGCGTCCGCGCGGGCCTGCCTCGTTTCCGCGCGGGCCTGCCTCGTGTGCGCGCGGGCCTGCCTCGTGTCCACGCTGCGCCCTGCCAGGAAACGGCGCATGGCATGAGGCAGACGAAGGTGTAGGTGTGTGGAAGTATCAACCGGCGAGGGCAGTAAGCTCACCCCCGGGGGCTGGCGAGCCGCGGGCTGCGTGCGGGCTGCGAGGGAACGGGCAGCGACCGCCGAAGCACAGAGCACACTGATCGCAGGAGCGGTTGGTAAGAGGAAATAGTTGGCGCCTCCTTTTCTTTGATGAGTACAGCAAGCAGCTTGCAGAGTCTTAATCGCTGAATGTGCACATAGATATTTTTTAAGATTGAAGTACAGATCATAGAGTGGGGAGAGGAACATCCCAGTATTTATAGAGCCTTGAGACACTCACGTTTGGCAACAGACTGAGGCACAGAGGGCACCCTCTATTCGTCTTTCGTGCAGAAGAATCTCTGTGCCTGCCTGGGGAAGGGGTCTCAGGTGACTGGGGACACTGTTACGGCTTAAAATTGGGGGAATCTAGTTTTGAAGCTTCCTCTTCCCTGCCAAGCTGCAGTTTCTCAGCTTGGGAAGATCATGTCCTGAATTATTCTCATGCAGATACATCAGGGCCCACTTTCCTGGTGGTACAAAGGTAGAGAGGCGGATAGGATGAGCTAAAAGCCCACGACCCAGAAGCCGTCGCCCAGAAATGAAGCTCTCCTGCAGCTCCTCCAGAGCTCTCATGGCTCTGTTCCTCGCTGCAGACCACCAGCAGGCAGGCAGGCTGCCTCGGCTCGTTACAGGGCCAGGTAATTGCTGCCCTGTTTTCCATTTACCTAATGGAGCTATTCAAAACCGTGTGACGCACTGGTGATGCCTTAGGAAATGAGGCTGACGCTGGTGCCCCATCTTATGCCACTTGGGCAGTTCCTGCAGCCTCACATATGGGTCTCCTTCACCATAACCTCAGCTTGTGAGTGCAGCCAAGCCCATGCAGGACTGCCAGCATAGCCCTGGAGCATGGCAGGATGGATCTCCAGGATGCATCCAGGATCTCAGCTGTTCCCGGATCCAGCTACTCCCTCTGCCACTTTGGCCCAAAGGCAGGTGCAAGAGCCCCAGGAAGCGACCTGGCTCTGCGTACAAATGTGACGACAGTGCTCTGGAAAAGGGAAAACACAGAGATGAGCAGCCACCTAACGTGTAGCAAGGTCCCCGGGAGCAGACGGCACAATGTATTTGACAGTATGTTTCTACAGAGTCTGAACAAGCACCCCTTGGGCTGGATCCTTAGGGTGCTTCCCTGCAGCAGAGGTGGGTCCCTGCTGCATGGAGGATTTGGCCTTTCACCCATGTGCTCTCACTCTGCAGCAGCGGCCGTAACCTGGCACAGTGTCTGCGTGCGCACGCACGCGTAGCGTGGATGCACGCGTGTCCCTACGGCACAGCGCGTGCTCGCCCGGTGCTGCCTCTTGTTGCTCATGCAGCACATGGCCAAGCCGACCCCCTGCAACACCCATGGGGCAGCATCTGTCCTACTGGCCCCCTCGCAGGGGCCTCAGCGATACTGCTGGCTCGATGGGCAGCAAGCACGCACCAGCTACGTCTTAACATTTTACTGGGGGAATTTACTCGTCTTTATTTGCTTACAGTTGTTTGCTGTGTGCCTAGCAAAGAGGCAGCGCTAGAGTAATATCATAGCATGAAACACAGTTCTGTCACTTAATGGCTACTTCTTCTCCCTGTTTTTCCATTTATCTGCACACAGCAAGTGGGCATAAAAAGCACACATGCAAATTTGGGCATAAAAGTACTGATTTTCTTATAGG